CACATACAAACCATGAAAAAATGGGTGCTTACCACTACAAAAGGTTTTCTCTCCCCCCACCCTTTTGTAGTGATAAACACCCATTTTTTCATGGTTTGTATGTATAAAAGCATCTTCTGTATTTTCCACAGTATGCATCCGATGAAGGGAGCTGTAGCTCACGAAAGCTTATGCTCAAATAAATTGGTTAGTCTCTAAGGTGCCACAAGTACTCCTTTTCTTTTTTCTCCGCTCTGAGCCTGATAACAACACAGCCTTTTGGTTTTGGTATCTTGCAGAGCCTAGTGGACTGCTGACTTCTGACACCAGTCAGAACACTCTCCTGGGCTACTGCCCCGAGGTACTGCCTGGGGATCTGGGGGTTTATTAGGGTCTGCAGAAGAACCCCACTGCTGCACTCCTGTTTTGGCTGCCACCACTGGATTCCCTTCTGGTGAGCCACAGCAAGTCCGTCAGCTGGAGAAATCAGGGAAGCACTAAAGTTTCCCTATCTTCTTCCGCAGCACTGAGCTGCTCTGAGCGCCCTCACCTGGCCACCTCTGCTCCTTGCAGTCTTTACTGTGTAACAGCTGTCACCAACTCCAGCCAACCATTTTCAAGCCATTTTCTAATGAGTGCTCTGTGTTCCATTGAAGACTTATAACTGTAAGAAGTTAGCTCTAGAGAAGTGATAAAACAGACTCCCAAAGACAGATTTGACAAAGGGGTGATTTTCAAAGTTCACAGAATAGTAACACTGAAGCTAGTGGGAGAATTATAGAGCATTCCAGAGCGAGTTCCTCATTAAACAGGTCCAGCTCTGGTTATGGAACATGTTCATTTTCACGTAAATTCTGGGGCTATAAATTGTGCTTTTCAGGGTAAAACAAATGCAAACATAATTACAGAGTTTCTAGTGCAACTCTCTAACAGTGGGAGCAGTCGAGAGGGTGAATTTCAAATTCACAGAAAGTTTTCGGACTCAAAAAAATAAAACTTTGGTTGCAGCCCTCCTCTGTGTACAGACTCTGAAAGTCTCATGTTTTCAGATACCAAAAGAAGTAACTAAAACAGACAGGAGGCTAGTGATTTATTTTTATCCCTTTAAAAATAATGGCATATGATGGTGGAAAAACTAAATATGGGTAGGATTTTCAAAAGTGCCTAAGAGTGTTAGGCACCTAACTTGCACTGACTTTTAATGAGAGTTAGAAATCTAACGTCTAAGGTGCTTTGGAAAATTCGTTGCCAAATACTATTACAGTAGTACCTCCACATGCAAAACAGATCACCAATAATAATGCTTACTACATTCTCTATTGCTAGTGGAGTTGCCAAAACTTTCAGGCCAATCCTTCAATGGGAATAGGCACAGGCTCTTGGTTATAAATGGACTCTGACTACTGTTTGAAGACAATACCTAAATAAGGATGGAAAGTGATAGTGTATAGGTAGAAAAGGTAGCACACATGTTTGACGTAGATAAGCTTCACAGATTTTAGCTAGATAACATTTTACTTTTACCCAGAGTCGTTTACATTGCAAAATACAAACTGGAAAATGCCACTGAGGTGCTGAGGCTTTTCAGCACTAGCTGATCATACAGACACTGTATGACGAAGTGAGCTGTAGCTCACGAAAGCTCATGCTCAAATAAATTGGTTAGTCTCTAAGGTGCCACAAGAACTCCTTTTCTTTTTGCGAATACAGACTAACACGGCTGTTCCTCTGAAACCTGTATGACACTGATACCCTTGCTCATACTGAGTAGTGCCTTGCTCCATAAGTGGGTCCACTGCAGTCAACGTTAACATACTCCTCAGATTTCACCCCAATTGCAGCTGCAAAGTAATCTCTCAGATATCTCAGATGCTACATTAATTTAACAGGATAAAATACCTCACTCATCTTGTCATGCATTTTAGTTTGCCCAATGTTATGCTTGAAATGAGGAATCTAAAATCACCCTGTTTTAGATGGAATAGATTCTTATACAGTTCAAACTCACAAACTACATTATTTTTAATCTGTTGCCTACTACATACCAATGAGAAAAATCTTGGTATCGTGTCATAAACTGCTATGCAAATGATGCTATTTGTAAGTATTAACATAATTTAGTGCTTACAGTCATATTCTCATTACTAATAATTCTACCAGAATGGAGAGTCTTTTCTCTATACTCTTAGCCTGCAGGATAGTCTTTCATCAAGAAGCTGAATTTTTTAATAACCTGCCAACATATGTTTTGTATGTGGCAGCTTAGGCCAATGACACAATGTCTTCATTATCGAAAGAAACAGGTCTACATACTGCAATCGGACATTAAAGCATGCCTGTGCCCATAAACTAATGCTTTGATGTCTAAATGTGTATCATTACAATGGTACTCTGTAACAAAGGATAATTTTAATCCTCTGCTCTCAATGGTAATACTTAGTGGAGATTGCAAGTCATTATATATAAGAAAGGTCTCCATGCTTACAAAAAAGAGCTCAACTCAGAAGGCAGAACATGTCAACTCTCATTTCTGGACAAGATGCTCTAAATGGCAACGTGTTTTGTTCTTTCACCCACGCTCGCTGAAATACTGGCCTGGATTTAGAGAGGCTTTCCTGCTGACATGCTTGTAGGAAATTATATCAAGTGTACCATTCCTTGTTTTTCAACTTTGGTAAGCGTTCATGTTGTAGGAGTTTTTAAGGGGCATATTCTTATCTGTGTCTGAGCTCCACCTAAATGCAGTAGAAGTGGGGGAACCATAAGGAAACCAGTTATAACTCCCTGTTTCTGAGCCATCAGGCCCTGAGGGCAGTTAAAATGGCAGGAGAATAACTCTGACTTAAGCCACTCGTGCAAGGACTCTCAAGGAACTTATACCAGTGGAGGAGCAGATGTAGTGCAGCTGTGCTCTGGAGTGCCTTCTTCCCCTTCCACATGGGCAGCTGTCACAGGGGGTTGGTATGCTACCTCTGACAGCTTTATGCAAGCAGAGAGCTCCCTGGCACAGGCAATGTTCTCCACTGGCCATCTCTGGCTGTTTTAAGTCCACTTTGCACTGGTCATGCTTATGCAGAGCAAGGGAGCCTGAGAAGACTGGAGAATCTAACCCTCATTGTTTGCACAGAAAGTTTCATATCACACAGCACTATTACTTTGTAATGATCAAAATTTAAAATAAGTTTAACCAGCACAATTTGAAATATATTATACTATGCAATGCAATCAAATGTTACACTTTCTAACTATTCTTGATTGAATTAAAAAAGCTAAACTGCAGTAAATATTTCTTTATTTAAAATAGGAAGACGGGGCATATTCTTCACTGATACAACTCTTCTGAATTTAATGGGAATAAATTTGGCATGAAAGACTTAAATATTCACAGACCTTGAACTAAAATTAATCTAATTTGCATCAGAATTCAAATTCTGAAAGAAATGGATCCAATGAATTCAGTCCAACAATTTGTAAAGAACAAACTTGTACACTGACTAAAAGCTACACAAATGAAAGCTGAAAGGTCATAACATTTACATCATTTTGTTTGTGGCTGTCCATCATTTTTGTAGCCACCCAAACTTTCTGCAAATCAGAATCCACTGCCCTGGCTACCTACTGAATTCAGCACAGCAACAGATGAAGACAGAGTATGATTAGAAAAGTGAAGTTTTAACAATAGAAATCCCCTTTATTTTGTGCCCACCCCCATAGTTATTGAGCTAACGATTTTATTTGCTCCTCTCTTAAGTTTCTGATTAACTGTCTTATTTAAATCATGTTTTCTTACATTCGTTTAGTGAACTTCCCAGCTTGCCATTAAACACAATGGACCAAATTAATCCCTGCTAATATTTCCTCTTCACTTTTATGCTTTAAGTCAATAGAGTTACATCAGAGATTAATCTGGCCCAAACAACTGTTCACTCAAGCAAGTCTTCAGTGGAGAGAAATTTATAATACTAGGAGCTGGATTAATTTCCAGAAGGCAACAACAGAATTAAAAACCTTTGCAACACCTCATTTATGCACAAGCTGGGGCGAGTAATACATGTTCTGTTATTACACACTACTTGTAGCATAGCAACAGCCACCAGCAAACAGACAAGTAACATGGAAGCATGGTGACATTTGCTCATGTTCATGTTTAGGAATGTAAAGCCATGTGTTTTTTCTACTCGATAAAACAGATACACACTTCTGATCAGAGATACTGATCGCCCATAGACACCCACAACTCCCACTGAAATCAATGTAAATAGTCAGCACCACTGAAAATCAAACCTCAGTATAAGAGGTTCTAGTGTTCATCCTGTTGATCTGGGACACCTATTTATAAATGATTCACATAAATAAGTATCAGAGGGGTAGCCGTGTTAGTCTGGATCTGTAAAAACGGCAAAAAGTCCTGCGGCACCTTATAGACGAACAGACGTATTGCTCCAATATGCTCCAATACGTCTGTTAGTCTATAAGGTGCCACAGGCCTCTTTGCCGCTTTTACATAAATAACACTCTTTGGTTTAACACTCTGCCCTGCTGAGTGACACTAGGCAAGTCGTTTCCCCATCTGTAAAATGGGGATAATGATAATGATGTTACCTCCTTTGTAAAGTGCGTTGAGGTCTAGGGATGAAAAGCGCTCTAGAAGAGAAGGTACTACTATTATTATTATATGTGAATAAAATATTATAAAACTTGCTACTCAAATAATTCCACAAGATAAAGTTCAATTTCTTGTAAAGTTAAGGTGTTAATATAAGAGGCCAGTGCAAGCCAGGGGCATGTCCATAGGAGCTGAGTACACATTAATCCAGCAAATTTCCTCAGCCACCTCCGCCTGCAGAACTCCTCTGAAAACTCCAGACGAAGCTAAATGTTCCCCAACCAAGCAAAAATCCCATGGAAGGGGGTGCATGACAATGTGCTTGCTTTTGTGAGCATGACCTACTCCGTACAGAGGTACCCAACATAAAACAAAACAAACGGAGAATAAGATACCCAGCTTCTCACTAACTTACATGTGCCCATTTCTTCCTCCACATCTCAGTCTTGTATCTCTGACATTCCTTCTGGGCCCAGTGGTAGCATTTCAGGTGCCTGGCAATGTCACAATATGCAGTGCCGTTTCCTCCAAATTCATTGTCCACTTTAAACAACCAACGTCTCACTCCCAAGTTATCTATGATCAGCTGACTCAGAACTTCAAACATCTATGGATGAAACAGTGGCATAAAGACAAAAGGGAATGGCTTCAAAAACATTTTGAATTAGGGCATCATTAAGGTGCTCATATATTTTGATTTAAAATTTGTTTTATAACAGATTTATAATTAGGGTTTCTAGCTTCAGGTTCAAACCAGTTTTACCAATATTCATCAATCCTCCTTCATCCCAAAAAAGCAGAGATACTGATGATTAGTAGTTTGGATGCTTGTGTAAAGCTCACCCAAACCCTTTTTGTTCAGGATCCTTTGGCCCCAATTCTGCAATTGGATCCACCTGAACAGACCTTTGCCCCCATGCAGACCCACAGAAAGATCAATGGGGCTCTGTGCCAGTGCAGAGTCTGCCTACGTGGAGCTCATTGCTGGACCGGGGCCATTAGTTTTGAATGTTCAGTACTTCTCAGGATGTGTCTCAGAAAGGGTAGCTGATGGCAGCACTAGACTATTTTCAAAAGCCTCTCTTAAAAACCTTCCTACAGTCAGATTCTAATACCAGGCAAACATCTCTGACATGTTCCTGCTGCAGAGTGAATTATATGGTTATAAATTTATGAAGGGGTTTCAAGATAGGCTTTATTAAAGTGATTCTAATTATTTATCTATATTCATACCCAGTTTTAAATGGCTTTCTTGTAAAACTAGCTGGGGAGCAGAATATAATTAGCTGTTTAGAAATAGTAAATGCCATTGGACCCTGGAAAAGTGTTATACAGATCTTGTGCTGCATTGACTAGAAGGTATTTTTACATGCTAATCTTTTGGACTCCTAGTTGTATATATTTTTTGGACTTTGACCACAAACAGAATTATCATCTGTTTGCTCCAAATCCTATTATTTGTTGCTTTCGAGAACCCTCTAAATGAGTTTCTGTTGATGACTCCCCTACAGTAATGAAAACGATCAATAGTATTGTTAAGATTGTACCAATGGAAAGAATTATGTGCTATCTTTAAGTGAAAATTGAACTGTGCTTTAACATAGTGTCACCTTTCTTTTATTATTTAACCTAAGGTGTCAATATTTCATAGGCGCAAACAACAGAAGGAGAACTTCTGAAATGTTGCAGCATGGAACAAAAGAGGAACTAATAAGCACGTGGGATTGTTGGGTAGGAAATTTTTATAAATGAATTACTTAATAATAAACTGAACTAATTTAGAAGTTCAACGTATTGCTTTTCTCTCACTGAACATATATTTGTCTATTTTATCAACTGTACGGAAATTGTTATATATTCGTTTAGCTGCTATTGTTTTCAGTGTTAAAGGTATTTGTAAAAAGAAAAGGAATGTAAAAAGCTTTTTGCTATCCAGCAAGATTGCCTAAGAATGATAACATCCTCACTATTTTCAGGTTTATGATGCACATCAGTAAAAAGAGAGAAGCTATTGATTACTGCCATCCACAAATACAACATGCTGACATTACCAGCTGGATGAATGCTGCAAATTTCAACACACAGTAGAAACAAGATGATTTTCTTGATGATGTGAAGTATTTTCTTCCAGAATCTAATGAACGCTCAAAGCTAACCCAAAATTCATCCAAATTCCATGAAAAAAAAAAAATCAGCAATGATACTGAAGGAAGTGTGCAGGAAATTTTATAAAAGGATCGATGGCTAAGCATGCTGCTGTTAAAGGGACACCACTAACCTGAAATCTAGTCAATTTAAAAAATGAGGTATGCGCAATTTCAGATACCCCAGCTGCTGTTAAGACATCCTGCCAGATTCTGTAGTTTCAGAATCACATTTTCCTCTTGCAAAAATGTTTTCTTCTTCCTAATCACAGATTCACAGATTTTAATTTGTTTGCCTGTTGCTGTGTGAAAAACCCATGTGAATAAGGGAAACTAGCTGACTATTGCATAAAAGAGATAAAATTTGCATACTTCTTTGTTAGTTGATAGGATAGTATCATATGAGGAATATTCACAAGGCCTAATAGCCAGCCAGGAAACTGTTCTGCAGTCTGGTATCTTTCGAAAGAGGGGACTCCAAAGTTTAGATGGAATTATGGGTTCTGTTTCAGGGCTATTTGGATTTGGGATGTCCATTTGGAACATGGCAGATTGGAAAAATATAAAATGGAGCATTAACTATTTTGAGCAGCAGACACCGTTTCTAAACCCATAATTCATGGCTACTGGGGAATGATAAATGGTGTAAAATATGCATGACATTACTAAGCTGTTTAACCAAACACAAGTAAAAATTAATTAATTAATCACAGAAAACAATGAAAAAGGGGAAATCATATAGGTAGAGAAATAATTTGCACCGCGTATGGGAGATATGTGGTAACTATTTCATTAGGGAATATTGAAAAAGAGAAATTGCCTAATCTTATTAATGATGAGAAATTAGCCAAATGGTATTAGCGTCAGTGTACAACCGAGATTGGCGTGTATTGGCAACAATCATAACAATTCCATTTAGCACAATTCATAATTTGGGGTCAGTGACACAACCTCATAATCAAGGTACATGTTATTCAAAACAGTTGTGCTCAGTGGTGGGTTCCATCTCAATTTCTTTTAAGGTATTATTTCCGATAACGGAACCTGACTCTGTAACATTTGATCAGTTGGCTTCTGGCCATTCAGCAGGTTATCTGGAAGATAGCATCTTCAAGGAACGCCTAGGTCTACCTCAGCTAATGGTGCATCACTCAGCAGCACAAATCTGGAGGGCACTGCACACGGCTTGTTGTTCCACTAAAGGATATTGATATGTGTGCAGATGTGTTGTTTTTGACATCCCAATTCCATTACATAGCCATGCTGGCCTGTACCAGTTTATTGAGTCAGAAAATCTAGCTGCTATTGTCTCCTGCCTTGTGACGCTCACCAAATGGTGATGACCAAAGTAAGGGTGACCTGTAATATGGATGGACAGTACTGTGGAGTGACTAATTACAAAACATTTATGTATGGAGACCTCGTTTGTAATGTCACTGCTCCAAATTTCTGCTTTATTTCTCATGAATGTAGCATTATATGGCACACTAATTATGCCTGTTTCAGTCTTTCAAAATGACTCCATGATTCAAAGTAAGCCCCAGCACCAGGATGAAATTAAATAAATACATACCAGCTTTAAACATACATATTGAACCACTAATTTTAAATTTAAAAACATTACTGAACTGAAAAGACACTCACACTACCCAGATTAGCAATGACATACGCAAGGCAGAACAAGCACCTCAGCTAGATAAATTACTCATGATAGTGATCTTGAAATAATAATTTCCCACACTTGGATAGAAGTTGCACGTAAAGCTTTGGCTTGTATTACAGGGAGTGTTAGTTTTAATTGTATTAATTATGTGCTGTCGCTTATGCAGTTTGCTAAAACAGTATAAAACTCACATGAATGCTCTCACCTCTGCTTCATATATTCATTTGGCAAAGGTGTCATCCTGATACAATTACCAAAGCCACAAGTGGGGTCCTGTTTGCCAATACATATAAGTTAGACGCAGTATACACCAGGGTAATACGTATTATGCGCGTGCTGTTATTACGGCATAATGACTATAAGTTGGGTGATCACGCTGAACTGTACTACGCCTACTCTTACTCTCTTATGCTAAGTATCCCACAATACCTTGTAACAGTACAACTCGGCATTTGGCACAGGGAGACAGGGAACAATATATATTAGTGTTCTACCCTGGTACAGGTAGGGAGTGCCTCCATGGCCCAACTAGTTTGGAATGCTGTATTCAAAAACCCAAGAGGGATGCATCATGGAACCAGAAAAATAAGTTGAATTGGTGGGTGGAATCTTAGAGGACATACAGAGGGTTTTAGCTTATAAACAACCCCATTAAAACAGAGGTATTTTTAAGGGTGTATTTTTGGGAAGCAAACCTCCTGTGGAAGGTGAACTGAACACACTGTGAGAAACCACTTCTTGGAAGGATTGGTGATGTATTAGCTCTTTCTTTCCTATACCATATTGTTTGTCTATACACAATAAACTGGCTGAGCTTCTTGAACATTTTTAATATCGAACTCCAAGGGCAGTCAAAACCAGCTGGTTATACATATAAACCAACAAAAGAGAATATAACCTATGGTGATCAGGAAGATCTGTCCATGAGCAGCCACAGAGTGGAGACTGAACTACTCTCACCTCACAGCGAGATGAGGATGCATCAGAAGCAAAATGATGCTAGGAAGCCAGAGCTCAGGTACAGAAGGGAGAGGATAAAAGTGGGGGGTCAGTGAGAGGAACATGATTTTAAACACAATTTGAAGCCAGGTTCTGTACCTCACCTGACCAAAGGAATTCCAGGTGGATACTGTTTGTGAAGGTGGAGCCAAGGACTCCCTCTCTCAATTATGTCTTGTTGGCAGGAGTTCCTTGTAACCAAAGATATGATTGATTGTTTGTTTTGTGATAGCGCCTAGAGGCCCATATCAGGCACCACGCTGGGTGCTGAACAAATACATCATCAGAGACAGTTTCTCCCCGGAAGAGCTTACAAGCTAATCTGAGACAGGATGCAACATGTTAGTGCTCCACAGGAGAGAGGGAAAAGGAAGATAATGAAAACAAAACCAGGTTGTACATAGTTTAATTGCTGCATAACGTATGGCACCACAACTAGATAAATTCAGCAAAAAGTAACAATACACTGAGGCACACCAATGAAAATGGGCAGTTACCTCAAAGAATAGTATCCTGCCACTGAGTCCAGAATAAATACAGACAAAGTGAACGGATTATATAAAAACCTTTTTCCTCTCTTACCGTTGTTAAAGCCGCCCCATACGCAGATGATTCATGTATTGAGTTTGGCAAAACTTTTATGCTTTGTCATGGCAATAAGATAAGTTAAATTGAAAATGAATTGATACACAAAACAGAGGAAAAAATTCTGGCACCAGGTCTGCCGAGCAGATCTCAATTTGGATGATCACCTTTTCCTAAACAAATGGAACCTCCCTTGACACAAATGCTTCACTTCACAGTGGAGTTCAGCACATGCCTCTCTCTTGACATGGCTTCCTAGTGGAGATATGGGGTGAAATCCTGGCTCCATTAAGTCCATAGCAAAACTCCCATTGACCTCAACAGAGCCAGGATTTCACTCATGATATGCTCTAATGATGGCTGTCTGAAAGGACCAGATACTTAAAGATGGTATGCATCCTAGAGGAGGACTACAAAGATTACTGGAACAAGTATTTTTCCTGAATCCTTTCATTAACAAGACAGAAGTTAATTTAAATGGTAAGACAAGTGCAGAAAGAAATAAAACCAATGGGGAAAAATACATATTCCAACTACTCATCCAAACCAATTTCGGTTCTAATCAATGCAACAACAGACATTTGACTTTTTTTATACAAGGCAACAAAGTATGCTTCCTACCTAGTCACAATATGCGTCCATATGTTGACGTGCCAAATAAACTGTTCCTTTGCCAACAGACACAAGTTCCCAAACTGCTTCCCACTTACCTGTTGATGGTTATAGATGTCATATTCTCCTGGAGGTGTTGGCACACAAGCACTAGCAAAGATTCTTTTACTTCCGGACTTAGTTCTATAGAGATGAGCTACTTCTGGCTCAGAGCCCAATATGGGCACATTTAACATGTCAGCCACTGCTAAATCATCTTTGTGAGGAAGTCCACCAATGATGTAGGCTTCTTTGCCTTGGATAAGATTTTTTATTCTTTTGATTGTCTTGGGACTGTACTTCAGCTGAGTGGCCAGGCACATGTGATGGCCCTGTATAAAGATAACATTATTCTTGTTAAAAGGTGTTCTTTTCTATTCCATGAACCTAATTTATAATGTTGCACACAATAAATACATTATTAATAGCAGGCTGGGTTATGACCTATCCTGTAGCTTAGCCGTTTAAATTGATAAAAGCTGTAGGGGTGAGGCTCCATAATCGTTCACATCTTTAGTGTGCTGGAAATGGGCTCACTGGGAATAGAACTAATTACTACACATCTGTATTTATTTGATCCATGCGGAATTATCCTTCTGTCAGTCGGCAGAGATGCTGGTGGCTTTTGGATAATAGTGATTCATCTCTGCAACACTTCTGGCATGGTTTAACTCTAAAGCGTCTGCAAAATCAATACAAAAAATGAAGAAAAAACCCTATAGCAGAGAATATATTTCCCCATACAATGCAGCAGCATTTTAAATGATTCTCTGAGAATAAAACATTTTGATTTAGCAAACCTTTCATTGATCACATTAAATTACAGGGGATATACATTTCCATTATGCAGTAGTTTTAATGGCTACAGTCAACTTGACTGCAGAGAAGGAAACAGATTTTTTTTAAAAAGCACAAAGGTTTCAGTTTTTCATTTCTTTTTAAAAATAAAATGTCTGTCTCTGGACAGGCTGTTCATGAGAGACATCACATCATGTAAAATTAAACTAAGAACATCAATCATGGAAGGCCGAGTCTTAGGATCAGTTGCTACGACAAATCCTATGCATCTACTGCAAATTACGCAATGTATAAGTTACTTCACTGGAAATATCAATGTACATTCAGAAAGTGAGTAAGACAGTGATGGATGCCGTGCATAGAATATTTCAGACATTTAGCAGGTTAGAGATTGCTACTACACAAGAATGAAGATAACGTTCTAGAACCATATTGAGAAGGAAGTTTTCTTTACAATGAAATTTCATCTACCAGTTTAGGACCCAGTTCTGGAAAGCATTCCTATTTCTTCAACACATGTTTAAATGCTCTCCTTAATAGGGGTGGACTTAAGCATATGTTTAAGTGTTTTCCTGAATGGGTACCTTAAAGGCTATTTTCATTCAAAGTTCTGCAGCCTCCATGATCAGAAAGCAAAGCCTACATCTTGGACCTGGTGTCTGGGTTGGGAGCATGGTGGAGGTATGATGCTCACCCCCCCAGAAGTGGAGGGGAAGAATGCCTCATGTCACTCAACAGTAAAGTCCCTAGCCTAATGGGGAAACTGTGGAGTGCCAAAGAGTGTGCAAGGCTCTCTGTGAAGTTGGTGGACATGATTTGGAGAGGTGTGATCCTCGAAGTTCCCACAGGAAAATCGAGGGTCTTCGGAGGCATAACCAGAGTTGTTAAGCTAACAAACCTATGTCCCTGAGTTTCCTTTCTTTATTCAGCTTTAAAGCACACTCTTGAAGTTTTGTTAAGTGATATTTGTATTTTTTTCCCCTAGCAGTAGCATGAAAGCAGGACAGAAGGGCCAGCCTGACTGACCAAGGTTCAATTTCCAGTCCTGGTCACTTGCTCCCTGAGGCCAGGAGTGGTGATGCAGGGAAGAGATTTGCTGTGGGTATCTCAATAACAGCTTCTACAGTTAATTAAGGAATGCAGGCAACAGGGTGTAAAATCTCGTTCATTCTGCCTCAGATAGTGATGTGATAGCCATGACCTGAGGTGCTCAAGGGGAGAAGATATAAAAGCAGGGGGATGTGGGGAATCCTCAGGAATCCAAAAGGGAATAACACAGGAACAATAATTAGCAGACAGAGGAAAAGGCCATTTGTTTTATTATCATGTGTTGACTTGTTTCAAGGACTTGGAGGCTAGATCCTTGCATCCAGATAAGCTCAGCTTGGCATCAGACTCAAAGTGATGAGCAAAGATGGTTCTAAATCACCTGAGCCTGGGGCCAACTGAGGACCACCACAATTTAGAGCAATCTCAGGGAGGCTTTAAATTGCACCTGGCTGCAATGATTCCCCAAAGGGTCATGCCAGCAACCAGGGATTGTCAGAGCACAAGACTGTTTGAACCACACACCCTTCCTTCCCGAGCCAAGTCTGCCATGCAGCGGGTTTGGACCAGAGGTGGCACAGCACCGGCTATGTAGTTATCATCACCCAGTGATTTTCCCTACACCACAATCCCCAGGTAGCAGGTTAAGTCGGTACTAAGGTTGCTATCTGCTGCCAGAGCTGGGACCTGGCTCCTTAATTTCCATCCATACTCAGGACTTTGAGGATACTTCTAGGTAAATTTAAGTACAATGAGAAAAGACATCATCTCATGAACTGAAAGAAAGGTACTCAAAACAAACCTATAAAGGTCTAATCCAGGACTGCTTACGTAGGCAAAACGCTCACTAAACTCACAACTACTGAAGTCACTGATGTTTTGCCTCAGCAAGAGTCCTGCAGTACGCTCAGCAACGCTGTCCCTTCGGTAGGTTTGAGTCTCTTTTTGGACTATATTCCATTGTTTGGTCTTAAAATTGGCCTAACAAGTTTAAAGCTAACGTTACTACAAAACCTACATTAAACACATTTAAAGTTCCACACTCTTTAAAAAAAAAGTTCTAAATTGGATTTCACTGCAATAAATACTCTTGAGGAATGAATACTTGACTGGCTGTTCAGCTATAAGGAGCTAAAGTTTGAATAATAGAAATGTTTTTATTGTTACACTTTCCTTAGCGTTATAAATCTACCAAGTGCTAAGTCCCAGACAAACACTGAGAATGGACACTGGGCTACAGACAATGGGGACAGGACTACCTCAACTAAGTCTATAAAACTAAACTGGGATATTTATTTCCAGCAGTCTAACTAGTAGTCTAATCAGTAAAGCTCTTAAACTTGCAATAATATTTCACTGATGGGTACCAGAGCGTTACACGTTATAAAATTTCCAATTTAATTTTACTGCATCCCTCAAGCTGTAGTAATTAGAAGACAAACTCACTGGGAATCTGTTTATAGCTTCAGGGGCGAGAATTTTGAACCTGTCCTGCAGGTCACCCATGTCCTCAGGGTTCCCAGATCTAACAGCTGCCTGCAGACCCAGGAGTTTATTGTAATACTGCAGTAACTCCTCACTCAGATGAAGGGGGCAGATGTAGATGACGTCAACGTTGGCATCTAAAACAAATGGGCACAATGTTCATTATCCGTAGAAAGGTAAACTCCATTGTGAACTGATCTCTGATGATTCCTGACCATTTGCTAACAAACAGCTTCCTTAAAAGCATACTGGAAATAAAATGAGATTTGTAATTTCACAAACCTTACTGGTTTAACTGCTTTTCTGTGCTTCAGCATTTCTCTGAAGACAGGTCAGCAACCCAAAGAAATAGCTAGCTTTCACAATTAAGTTTGCAGAACACATTGGGGGTAGAATTTCCAAAGCGTTTCAGGGGGATTGAGCAGCACAACATCAATGGGAATTACGCACTACTTTAAACATGTATCCCATTAACTTCAGTAAATTATAAAACTGAGCTATTAATTCTAGAAAGCTGATGAAACTGCAGTTTCATACTCTGCTTGGATTTTGCATGGCCTGTTCTTATTCTTGCCCCATCCCCGTAAATGCTCACAGTAGGCAGGGCCGTCCCTAGGGGAGTGTGGGGCCCAGGGAGGAAGTGACGAATCCGTCCCTTCTGGGACTGACCGAGCCAGCCAATCGCACCGGCCCATGGGGCCCCCAGAGGCTGAGGGAACTGGGATTGTTTAGTCTGCAGAAGAAAAGACTGAGGGGGGATTTGATAACTGCTTTCAACTACCTGAAAGGGGGTTCCAAAGAGGATGGATCTAGACTGTTCTCAGTGGTAGCAGATGACAGAACGAGGAGTAATGGTCTCATGTTGCAGTGGGGGAGGTTTAGGTTGGATATTAGGAAAAACTTTTTCACTAGGAGGGTGGTGAAACACTGGAATGCGTTACCTAGGGAGGCGGTGGAATCTCCTTCCTTCGAAGATTTTAAGGTCAGGCTTGACAAAGCCCTGGCTGGGATGATTTAGTTGGGGATTGGTCCTGCTTTGAGCAGGGGGTTGGACTAGATGACCTCCTGAGGTCCCTTCCAACCCTGATATTCTATGATTCTATCATTTGCCATACCCAAGGGACGACTCTGACAGTAGGATGGCATTATTAACTTCTGCAGACCAAACAGGCGTGCAGATTGGCCTGTTAAATACCAAATCTGAGTTCATGCATGTAAAACAAGCTGGTCTGAAAGGCTGCATGTGCAAACACTTAGCTGTGAAAAACTGCCACACAACTGTTGGTGCTACTTTGGAAAATTTGACCCAGTGTGTTTTTTTCTAAAACATTAATATTAGACATTGATGAGTTAACAGGCCTCATAACATCAATGCAGCGTGCTGCCGTGAAAAGCACTTTGAGATCTACAAATGAAAAAAAGCACTGATAAGGTCTGATCCAACTCCCATTGAAGTCAATTGTCTTGTCTTCACTGGGAGTTGGCCTGAGCCCTAAAAGTGCCAACAATGATTATTATTACATCAAGATGAAATTTAAGAAGGTGCAGGAACTAAATCTAGCGGAAAAGGCGGTAAGAAGGAAAACCTAATTTCATAGGTTTCAGAGTAGCAGCTGTGTTAGTCTGTATTCGCAAAAAGAAAAGGAGGACTTGTGGCACCTTAGAGACTAACCAATTTATTTGAGCATAAAAGACTTGGAATAAAATATTCCACTCATTTACTTCGCTGTGGTGCAGCTACTGCAGGAAGACAGCACATGCTAAAAAAATACATTTATAGTGCTCAACTGGTGTACAAAAAAAATGACATGAGCTGAGGATCTAGCCCATTATCTAAGCTCTGTGTGCACATAAAAAGAATGCATAAAATTCATTACCACATAATTTCAAAAAGTAATGACAATGACGAGAACAGTCCATTTGGTCTTTGGTCAATATTCAATATCACTTTCAGTCACTCTTGAAAATTTACCAACCTGGGCACACAATCTGCTCACTTGCCCTTGCGGTGACAATGAAAAAGCTACTGATATTGCAACACCCTGTCAAAAAGTTACTTGCCCAGGGTAAAGTGAGTGAGCAGAATTTTGCGAGGCTGAATTAAAGACTGGGACTCTCCCAGCAATAGCTATCAAGATCTCATTTAGACATAAGCTGAAATGCATAGGGAGACTGTAGCTAATATCTGATTATATTAGTGTAAAGAAACATTCTTGATACTCTAAAGAAACCATTAAACCAATGTGGTAAGAATCTGTGCTCTTCTGTTGGGCACAAATTAAGCATCTGATATATGATTATCAATAAACTCTATGTGTTTTACCCCTTCTTTCAGTTTCCGCTTATTTTCATTCTCAGACACCCAAATAAGTCTTTTCCTGTGGTAAGTACTAATATTTATCTAATCTAGTATTTACAGTGGAGTGGATGAGTTCTCTGGGTTAAACACAATTTTAAAGAGTATTTGGTCCTTTTCTACACTACAGTTTACAATTCCGTTAGTTGCTAAAGAATGATTCCAAACTGTAGTGAAAACAAGGCCAATGAAATGGCCCCACCCAAAATCCTGGCCAATTTAAAACCACTGCTGGGAAAATATATATTTACCAATAGACTGTACAGTATGGTGCAACTCACTGAAAAGGACAGGTGGCTTCTGGAGTTAGATTGTAATCTTATAAACTCCCATGCAAATGAATACGGCGTAACTGTGGAGAAAGCACTTCTCTGGTTTTGAGAGACCCTTCCACTTTGCAGAAGTAAGCACTAAGGCCCTGGTCCTACAGACACTTGCACATAACTTTGTGCATGTGATTAGCCCACTGAACTCCATGGGAGTACTTATGTACTCAAGTTACTCCAGTGCCAAAGTGTTTGTCGGATCAGAGCCGATATCTGAACACAGCAGATCAGCTGAATGTTTGGACACGAGTTGCAATGTCCTATTTCTGTCTAATGGCCCCGTTCCCCAAGTCCTTGCCAATGTGAAACTATTCACATGAAAAGGGGCTGCAGGATTGGGCCTTATCTTTATTTAAATTTATGATTCTATATAAATGATTTTAATAAGGAAGAATTAAACAGGTTTAGAATAGGATTAGCTTTGAAGGGAATACTGTCAACTTGACTTTTTTTTTTAATTAATACTAAAAAAAAAGTTTTTTTGGTAAAGCACACTTTAATAGTATGTTCTGCACCTTTGGGCTTTTTAAAAATATGTTAAAATATTTAGGATTTTTTCTGCTCCCCTGTTTATGTTTAGAAGGGTCTTTTGGGGGATAAACGGGGCATTGAGCAACATCATCCAACATGCTCAAGACCACCCCCTTTGGCCCCCTCCCCTCTCCCTCTGCTGACTATTCACTTTCAACCTCAGCTTTGCTGCTGCTGTTTCTGGTAAACAAGTTCATGCAGACCACATAGGGCAGAAAAAGTGCTGTCAAATGCACAAAGTAAATAAAGGGGAAAAAAGAGAAAAAATTAAAAAAAAAAATATCTCTGATCTCCTTCAGTTGTAATCATAGGGTTTATTTCTAGGTTATTTATTGCTAGGACCAAAATTCTCCGATGGAAATGCAATTATATGAAGGAGAGAAGAAACCATTCGATCATCAAGATTGACTCCTATACGACGCATTGATGTTCTTCCTTTCAGTTTCTAACAAACAATGTAGATGTAACAAATCTATCTTTAAAAAGCTCCAAAAAATAAAAACCAACTGTAATATGGAGAAACAACATTAGTGCCTAGATTATATATAAAGGCAATTACATTATTATTTTAGGCTACTGTAAATTTCTGGATCTAACATTTTTGTTACAAAGTTACTAAATGGCATTTATGAAATAATAATGACACTGAAATATATATGAATCATGTAAAGTATGTCATTCCAGGGAGCCAACAACATTGGTCATTGACAAATTAATATTCTTCATTGCTTTGTTTAAAGGAGAACTGTCATGCTGGGAAAAACTTTCAAATGTATGTTTCTTGTCTCATTTGCTAATTTAAAAAATTGGTTTAAATAAAGGTTTACTCTTTCCCAGCATATCTTCTCTCTTAACGTGATCCTGAATGCATAACTGGCACTGCCGAATTATAAAACAGATTCTGTGGAGTGCTGAGCACCCCAGTCTGCCAAGAAATGCTCAGCACCATGCAGAATCAGATCATCTTACTTCACTGCAGAATCAAAAATAACAAGTATGTTTTATGAACATCTCACAGAGCAGTAAATGGCATAAAGGACCGATCAAGTACTGAAAAGTGCTTTTGAGTTTAGATGCTCTCTGCATTCAAGATTACTACAGCAAGAAACTCTCCCTCATCCATGCTCTTTTCCTTAAAAATGAGAGACAAACAACAACAAAGATGTAGGCAGCTGACTGCACTTACTATACCTAGTATGTCACACAGCCTCCCCATCTGCAAATTCTGCTGAAGAGCAAAATCAGGAGCAGTCTCACGAATGCATTGGGAATACCCTAAAAAGAAAATAAGGTACCAACATCTATTAATAAAACCCCTCATCTCATGTATATTTCAACGAGATCAGATTCTAGATAAGCTAATTACATTTTTCCTTTAAAAGTCATTGTATAAAAATATATTTTATAGTTATTCTACCCCTAAGAATTAAATCCTTATTTATTTAAAATAAATAGTCTGAAATACAAAACGCAGAGCACAATTCTGCTCCGATTCAAGTCAAAAACAAAACTGCTGCTGATATAACTGAGAGGAGAATTAGGCTGATAAAATGCATGCCAAGAAGCTGATTATGCTACTAGAAACTTCAATCTATTTATTTTTATTATTTTTTTTTCTTTTATTAATGCAGTAAAACTCCCAGTACCAGGATCATGGAAGCACACTGAGGATTTGTGACATGCAAATTTGTGACATGCATCATGCAAGGATGAAAGTTTAATGCATTGTGAGAAATGCAGCGTATGCTCAAATTCCAGAGGTGTAGTTTATTGGGTTTTGGTATGCATAGCTCCTATGCAATATTTTTTAAACGTTAGCTCAGATTCATTCTTGACTGACAGCCTGATTTAGGCTAAATACCTTGCTGTCTGAAGCAAGGATTTGCTGATACTGCGCACAAAAGAAAATACATGCACCAAACAGGAGGAACAAAATAAAACAAACAAACAAACAAACAAATAAATAAAAGCTGCTCATTTTTAGTACTAGTGGAAACCCTACTGAGAGTATATTTTTGCGATGCCAATTTTCTGGAAAATATCATAAATTTGGACTTTTGGCCTCTTTAGTGAACCTACAATTTCCTCATGTCTCCCTCTACCGCAATTATATTTTATAGAAACAGTTGAAGTGAGGCATTTAACGTTCAAACCTGACAGTCCTATAAAAGGTTTTCAATCCTTTTGTTTACTTACGACTTCTCTGAATGGAGGCCTTCTGAACGAAGTGTGTTCTACCAACTAAACACACATGATATCACATGTCTGAATTTAATTAGCCATTTTTGTTATTGGACAGGAGCGACATCATACCTATGTAAAATGAGATTTTTAAAGAGGGACTGCAGTATTAAACCTTGTAGAGCGTTATAACCCCAAAATACATGCAAGTGTCTATTTTATTTGGGTTTGTGCATGTTGCTGTTATTTTTTTTCAACAGTAGAGAAAAGTCAGTGCCATCACAATTAAGTAAGGATCCCTTCTGATCAAGCAGGTCCATTCTATCAGCACATTTTCCTTCAAACAAAGATAAAAGGCAACAAAAAATGCCTCATTAAAAAAGGCACCCAGAGTACAACCCCAATGACATCTGATCACTTTGTTCCAGAGGATGTAGTGTATGGATGACTAACAACCTGTCTGGGCTAGGATTATCTATTTGAAGGGCAGATTTCGGACTGATTATATCCTCACCTTCTAAAAGGCTTCTGTAAATGACATGTTTAGAGTGACTATAATCTCTAATTGTGTAGATTTTAAAATTTAGCTAATCCTAAATGAACCTGCTAGAAAAAATATTCTAATAAAAACATAAGATCAATTGCTAATAGAGGCAGTTGTTGCTGAATCAATAGGATGTGCAGTCTAATACCCAGCGTTTGACATATACTCTTAAGTGGTCTGTTAACAAGATCTGGTAACATGAAGATGTTACAGTTTTCCATACATCTGCACATGGAGAACCATCTGTTATGACTACAATTTGCTTAAATACTGAAGTATTAAATTTTGGTAAGAGAACAGCATTAGTAGATTTGCAAAGGGTACTGCTATTGCACCTTTTCCTTTTTTTATTATAAGGAATTTATTTTTGATCAGAGAATTAGTGATGAGTAACCAGCAGCATTCTCAAAGGGTATGTCAGTGCTGTTCTGTATGTATGTCCATGATCTATAGAAGCAATGCCCCAAAGGAAATACTGAGAAATTAAATTCTAAAAAGATTTAGTCCATAAATTTCAAAGGCAACCACAAATTGCCAGTGCCTCAACTTGAGACACACACAGCTTCATTTTGAGTGGTCCTGCGCACCCACAGCTGCCATTAACTTAAAACTGCACTTGTGAATGGTCAGCACCTCTCAATGTCAGTCTCAACTGAGGCACTCAAAATTAGTGGATGCTTCTGAAAATCTTGGCCTCAATCTCATGAAAAACTAAATTTTACAACCCTCCCGTCACGTCAGCATAGGGAAACTGAGGCATAGATAAATTAAATAATTTGCCCAAGTCACATAATAAATCAGTGGTAGAGCAGGGATTATAATCCACGTTCCTGACACCCTCTCATGTTTCTAATACATTAACTCTGGTGCTTAATAATTCCTAAATTTTAGACACAGGAAACAGACAACTGGTTTCCAAGCACTGTATTGTACATATGAAAATAGTTTAGTATTTAGGGAACATACTTTGGCAGAAAAATTGTATTAATATTGTCATTTTGACAATGCACAATTATTTTAAACGGCAAATATTTAATTTTAGCTATGGAACAAATTTCAATAACTTTTACATTGATGTAGTTCTCCAAATGCACTATATCAGCTACAATATGTAATTTTCTAAATTTAGTTACCTAAATACCAATGACATATGTCATGTCACAAACAAATTGTGTGAAATCTTCACGCCATTGAAGTCAATAGCAAAATTCCAGTTTCACACATTGTGTCCCACGCACCTACCAGCTAACAGCATGCACTACTCCAACGGTAAGTCCTGGCACCTGTTATATGCTCGGCTGTTGATACTACTCATTAAAGAAGCCTCTTTCAGTTCCACCTGTTGCAGCTTCAATCAGCTTCACAGTATCACAGAATCATAGAAATGTAGGGCTGGACAGGACCTAGAGAAGTCATCAAGTCCAGCCTCTGCACTGTGGCAGAACCAAATAAACCTAGATCACCCCTGAAATGGTGTTTGTCCAACCTGTTTTTAAAAACCTCCAATGATGAGGATTCCACAGCACCCTTGGAATCCTATACCAGAGTTTAACTAAACTTATAGTAAGAAAGTTTTCCACAATATCTACCCTAAATCTCCCTTGCTACAGATAAAGTCCATTACTTCTTGTCCTATCTACAATGGAAATAGAGAACAATTGATCACTGTCCTCTTTATAATGGCCCACAGTTAATTTACATATGATTACATTTGCAGTCAGTGTGCTGTGAATGTACCGTGTACTTCCAATTTTGATATGTGCAGTTATGCATTTGTTTTAGGTCTAACTAATACTTTGGGCAGCTGGGTTTTGTTTGAAATGTTCACGCAATTACAGAATCTCTGACTATGAGCTCAAGCCATAACCATAGATCTTCTTTTGAGTCACAGAATCATGACTTTGGATGGTGTATAGTGACAGCATGGGTAGATAATGCTTCCAATTGTAGCTGAAATCAATGATTTGGTAATATTTTGGTCTCCCAAACCTGCAGCTTATCAGAGCTTGGTGATATGACCTTTCACTCACATTCAGCATCAATCCACCATAATGTGTCAATGGCTGAGCTGGACTGTAGAAAAGCTCAATCTCTTAGAGCGAGAATTGTGGATTTCCAAGTGCAATGTGTGATTATGTTACCGAAAGAACACTGAGGGTCCGCTTCTCTAAAACCAGCTTCAGACCAATATAGCTCCATTGACTTCAATGGAGTTACTCCCAATTTACACTGGGGTAATTGAGAAGAGAGTCAGAGAAAATGGGGAGTAGAAGTAGTAAAGGGACTACCTTTGCCTCCCCATCTCAGCCGCTGCCAGAACTCACTAGCCTTTCTAAATATGTTTTGTGGGTCCCCATTAGTGCCTGGCCCCAGCAAACAACCCATAACACCTTTCAGAATTGCCTTTTAAAATAAAAGCAGTGGTATGAAGCACGGAGGTGGCAAAGACAAAACAGTGTCAGAAAGTTGGGGTTGTGTTTTTTTCCCTGCAGAAAAAAGAGGGAAGAAAGACAGCTGGAGTTTAACCAGCTGATAGTGCCTAATATATTGGTCACATGTGCTAAAACATATTTCTAATTTGCCCAATATCCTTGGCATACTTACTTTGAAGTACTAGTATGCGTTGAAACACCGTTTTCTAAAAGAACATGAGAGTTGCACAGGAGTTGCACTCACATGCAACAGAGAGAAGGGGTTAAAATGTGGAGGAGGTAGTGAGGAGGGGGAGGGAGAGAAGGAACACAGGAGAAAGCGACAATAACCATATATTATGCAAAGTTTCTGCAGAGCAATGTTACTGAGTGGAGCAGTAATTTTATTAGGAAATAATGCCACAGTGGCTCTGTGTTGTAATAAGCAGCTCTTCTTGTAATAAGATAAACCATAATTCAAGAACTAGAATATCTTACTGCAATTATATATACTTTTTTTTTTAATATTTACATGTTAATTTAATGAAGATGATACTAAATTCTCAGTGGATAATTACAGTCCATTAATGTTTTTGCTTGAAATCATATTAAAGATCAGAAAAGTTACCCCAAATTTTACACCAGTGTAAGTGCAAATGGCATTTGACCTAGAGTCAGGTCAAATTAAGCCCCAAATTTAATTTTTGCAAAAATGATAAAAAGAAGGTTCTATAATTTTAAAACAATCCAATTAAAAGAGTTATATAAAAATAATAAACATTCTCCAACAGTATTTGCAACTGAAATATTGCAGCACTGAATTAAAGCATTAGAATTTGAAAGTGAAATTGACTTGAAAATGACTATAAACAAAAGTGAAACTGACTAGCCTGTTTTCACTATATTAACAAAGAGAAATGCAAAAAGTAACCATCTGTTTAAATAATGAAAGTTAGATTAGATTTTTAAAATCCAGTTTTAATAAAACAAGGCTTTGTTATTAGTAAAATTAATATAGAAATTTGTTCCTTAAAAAACTATAATTTTTAACTTGACAGTGTCTCTTTAACCAATCATCTCACTTAATATTTCCCTTAGTCATGTGCAGAGAATGGATACTTGTAATGGTCCTGAAACATTCTTCAAACTGAAAAAAGTTGAGAAATTCACAATTAACAATGTGGCCTGATTTCAGGGGAGTTCCACCTGTGTGAGAAGAGATTCAGGTTTTGATACTCAGGTGAAATTCTGGCTTCAATGAAGTCCATTGGAATTCAACAGAGCTAGGATTTAGTCCTCCATTCTTAACTAACTATACTGCAAAGAAAAAATATTGTTGGTGAAAAATACTTTGTCAAACATGCACTTCTTGGTGCTCAGCAGTTGTGTTCCAACTTTAGTGTTACTTGAGTCATATCAACATAAAAATATGTCTAATTCCTTTGAGAAAATTCCTGTTGAAGTCAGTTGGAATTTTGTGTGAGTAAGTAGCGTTGAGTAGGGCCATAATGTTTTAGAGATACGTTTATCTTCAGATTATAAAATGCATATTAGTTCAAAGAGTAGTGTAGCCTCTTGTGTAAACATCTAATCAAGTTTATTTATTCCAATGCTCAATTAGGTCAAAAAGAGGAGTTGTTTTGATATCTTGGCTACAAGAAATTAGCAGTGTTTTTCACAACAGGTATTATTACAGTACTTGTCAGAGCAAAACAACAATCAGAGAAGATCTTCTGATAAATTACAATGACAGTAACTGGAAATGCCTTAGTGATGGATGAAAAACCTAATGAAAATATCTTTGAAAAAACAAACCCATGCAGAAAAGCATATTTAAAAATGTCAAATGTTCTCATTTTATTTAATTTTATTATATACTTGAAAGGGGCTTAGTTCATAGAACTGAAAAGCCTTCATGTTTTCAGTTTTTAAAATGTAAACTATGTTTAAAGCTCTGTTTGTCTCAATCTGGTCAGCTTCCAGATATTTTATATTTGAATATCTCAAAAGCAACTCAACTTTTTTAAAAATTCTGTTTTCAATCTGAATCTCTTATAAAAGAGAAAAAAAAGTACAAAGCTTTTATTCTAACTTTCAACATGGACAAAAATGCTTATAGGAAACTAAAATATATCTAAAAAACCTGAATTCTGTAACAGAAGTCTCAATGCAGTTGCATATATTTACAGCAAATAAACATGAATACACTTGATTACAATACCTTAAGAATCCCTATTTTGATTGACATAATTTTAATATATCCTTCGTTTGGTAGTTATATATACCTGGTTATTTTCTAAGAAAACATTTGAACTCATAATAAAATGTACCTAATACAGACTATTTATTTTTTTTAAAGAGAAAAGATTCCTATCTAGAGCCCGAATCATATAACTTCTTACATGCATGCAGACTGCTGCATACAATAAGTTGCAGGATAAGGGGCTAGACACTAGGTCAAATGCCAAATGAAAATGGAATCCCTATTTAGTTTAAACACGTCATCAGGAGATTCTAAATATTTTCAATTATATCTGTACATTTTGCTGGAAGTTAACAGGGTCATTTGAGTACCAGGGACATTTCACTTTAAAAAAAGAGTTTTTAAAGTTTGTCTATTTTTATAATACCAAAGTCTTTATAATTTTTATAATACCAAAGTTTTGAAAACAACTTGAAAAGCATTTGTTGCTTAGCAATATTGCTGACATTTGAGTTTACAGATCTACTTAACAATTGTTTTTCTTCTATAACTGATCTCCCTCCCAATTCCCATTTTCATTTGGTTCAAAACCATTAGAATTTAAATATTATTTTTAAATGTTCATGATTTTAAATTAGAGTTCTGATACATGATTTAATCTGGCATATTAATTTACGTGAGAATTTAAGATCAATGTGCAAATAAAAACAGTGGTTCATAGGCTATATATTTATGTTAACATAATTTGCAAAACTATCTTCTCATAAAAATCAAAGGATATATATTCCATAAATATGAGAGACAGAACTTGTAACAGTTTTCATTAATTCAAATCTAAGCCAATTCAATTCATGAAATCCTAACTCTCTAAGGTCAATTAATTTGCTATGAAAGCGTAGAAAATAAATCAAATCACAAACATTTTGACAGCAATTCATGTTTTAAGAGATTATTGGTGCATTTTGGAAATTCCCAAGAAATCATATTCTATAATTTCTAAACAACTACATTTGGCCACCGCTTTGCAGAAAACAGCTTTTAAGTTCCCCAATTCATAAATGTAATTAAATAATTACATTAGTGCTAATTAACATGAAACTGCAGATTATTTAAGCGCAAAAAACACTATTCAACTTCTTAATTATTCTTGTTCACACAGCATTTCCTTTTGCTCAGGCGCCCTAGGTGCAAATAAAGCATCCCATCTGCTCGTAATTAGAACTAAATAATTTCAGAGAATGTAGCTTATCATTTTGACTGCACATTTGATTAAAAACAGTGTACAAGCAATACCCTGGCTTACTGCTGTAACAGCAACAACATACATAGGCACACGTTCTGCTATCATTAAAGAAGACTGAAAACATTATCTGTTATTTCAGGGGGAAAAAATACAACTTTTTAGTTCATTTCATACAGATGAAAGCGAATTACAGCAAATCACCTCTCCACTGAATAGCGGCCTCCACATAATGACTTTATTTGCTTAATCCCCAAATTAAACGCCATTTCGAGCGAGGGCCCTGTGTTATTACTCTCATCATGTTGAGAACATTTTCCTGCCGAGACCAATTTGAATAAAACAAGGGGCCTTCCTTGAACTCAATCAAGGAGTCATAATGTGGTGGGTAATAGAGGTTGCTGATAGATTTGCAGGCAAAAGTGTTATACCTAATGATGGGATATGGATAATAGTCCTCCTGGAGGTCCTGATGCGATTCCAGTTGGCTGCCAGATGCTAAAAATCAAGAAGAGCATTGATCAGTGACAGGAAGCTGTAGTGGATTCATCTAGTCAAACTTCAGCTGTTTTTCCACTGTACAGTTAAGCCAGGCATAAATTATATTAATTGATTTAATTACATACTTAAAACATCTTCCCCAATTAATTTAATTAGGTGGCTACATGAAGCTACTGGCAGGGGAAGATTAGAGGCTGCTCACTTAATTAACAGAATATGAATGAAAAAAAAAGAAAGCAAACATAAATGAAATTGTGAGCACTAATTAAAAGGCTGTCTACAAACTTAAATACTTTCTGACAAAGTGGTGACAGCAATGTAGACAAGAGAGGGATTTTTTTCCAGCCAATTTACTGCCACAAGGTATATATTGGGAGCTACGGTAATGCAGTTAAAACATTGATTTTCTGACAGAACTACCGAAGTCAAAGTGAAGGGACATTTTCCATAGAAAAATTGCAACAGATTCTGCAGCCACAAAGGCTGAATCACTGATGAAGGATGAAATATGATGCTCGGACAAATGTACAGTTAAAGGGAAAAAAATGGAAACAGCTTATTGCGATTACTCAAGCAAGAGATGTTTAGGACAGAAGTGCTGCTGTAGCAGCTGGCAGCACTGCACACCTTGGCCCTGATGTAAAAATTCTCCAGGTGTCTCTGACGTGATTCCTTCAGGGTCTTTTTTACACGTGCCATGTGACTATGCAAGAGCCAAGAAATGGCAATCACACCTGATGCCCACTGCTGCTGCCTGAAATGGATATAGGCTTTTCTGTCCGTATAGCGCCTCCATGTTGCTTGGATCCTTGTGGCAGCCATTTCAGTACCATGTTGCCCTTTGTATCTCTGGCCAGGTTGATTTAAGATCCTTTTCACAGTTGTCCGGTTCTTTATCACCGACAGAAGGTCATCTCTGGTAGGCCTCTGGTTAAGTTCAAAGTCCGATATGAGCTCCATCAATTTCTTACCCTTTATTATAGCCAATGGTACAGCGTAGTCCTTGAGTAGTTTCTCAACATGTTCCAAGAAAGAAAGAATACTTCCCCAGGATAAACAACAGTGCTGCTTGAATGCCAGGAAATCTGGAGCCTTATGATCTATAGTGCCATTGTAAATAGTTATATCATAATCCAAAAACGTATTCTGTAAAGGCTGAGGTTGCATCATATGTGGGCTCTGTGGAAAGAGAGCACAGCCACAGATTAAAAGTAATTGCAGCTACTTATAAATGAGTGGTCAAGACATACTACCATTTTATCATTTACTACACAACTGTGGGAAATTATGGATCCAGAAATGTATTCCTCATATTGATTTAACATATACATGTCATAAGCACAAAGGCGGGCCCATATATACTTTAAAACTCATTACCAGAAAAGTACCTTAGGGGACACGCAAGACTATTAACATTTTTATAGAAATATATTAGTTGCTCATGGGAACTATGCTTGATCTTATCATATATAAAATAAAGCTCTACAGTAACTCTGATATGGTCAGCTGATCCCACAATCTGTATGATTTACCAGACGACAGCCTTCCAGCATTGTTATCTCATTCATAAGATGTCCACCAATCCTGAGAGAATGGAGAACATCCTCTGTTACACGCTTACCAGAGGCAGCACTCTCATCTCCCAAAACTACTTTTAGCAAGACTCACCACTTCTGAATCCTACCAGAACTCTTGTCTCCACTGGAGACTTCAGCCAGGTCACCAGTTTTAGCTTTTGCTACAACTTTACTTATTTCAAGGGACTTTTTTGCAGGATTATTTTTACTGATATTATCTCATTAATTTTCCAGCCTTATTCACCAAGCTTGATTTTTCCTTTTCATTTCTCATCTGAGCCATGGCATCGATCAGCACGCGAATGATACAAAAGTCTTAAAAGGCCAAGCAAAACTCCAAGCCCTGATTGGTAAACAACACTGTAATTCAGGTGCATGTAAAGGGAAGGAAATGTCCCTTATGCATAGACACCAAGAACAACCATCAAGCCTCAAGTAATAACTGAAATCAGCCACGCAGGCTCAGACTCTCCTAGAGCTGCATGTGAGACATTCTGTTTGCCTATATGAACAATGCAAGAATTATAGGAGAGACACTTTAGCAAACTGGCACTCGAGGAAATCATTCTATTTACTTCCTTGGCTTTGGCCTGATTCAGTGGTCCCGGATCATGTCTTAAACAATCTTTGATTAAGACAGTAATGAAAACCTACATGATAAAACCTTGTTGTCACCAATGCTTAAATACCTTTGGCTGAGGGGAAGCACAATTTATCAACTCCAGCCCTTGAGCTGGTTGTGTCCATAATCGCTTTGATTTCTTAGCTGAAGCCATGGAGCTGCTGGATGGAGGTGGAGCAATGCTACCTTTGTTTGAGCAATATGAGTCATCGGGGCCCCTCTGTGAGTCTGGAAAGATGTCTGTACCAGCAAAGTCCACCTTGCTACCAATCCCTCCTGTACCAATAGAATAATGCAATGTAAGGTTTTACTACTAAAAAGAAACACCATACAATCAAAATAAAGTGCAATTTCACTGGTAGAAATTGGCCCAGAAGCTATCTTACTTTATTTTGATGTCCAAATAGGTTGCTATTTCCAAAAGATGTAATCCAAATATTAAGTTTTGACCAAACCAGTAATATTTTGGGAGGAAAGTACTAATGATATAACTTTGTCATCAAATACTAATAAAAGTCTAACAGACTGAAGGACAATTACAGATTTGCTATCACAGATGCTGGTATCAGGTTACAGAAAACCACAGAAATTTTTAATATACATTTTCTAAAGCTAGTGTACCAGCCAACAGTTTTTCCACTTTCCATAATATATTAAAGCACCTAATCAGTGTAGACTATATCACTCCTGAAATGTTTGTCACTTTTATTGCATGTGATTACATGCCACTGCCACGATAACTCACAGCCCTTGGTTTCATTTTTTGGTCATGTCCATCCATCATGAAGCCTTTCAAATCCAAAGCAACTGCTGTTGACTCACTGGTGGACTTGATCATTCCTGCCGTAGGGACCTCAGCCTTTCTATACGGACTTATGCAGCAAGAGAACACTAGTTTTGTGTAGATTCTGTATTCCACAGTTCAGGTCTGGTGTATTTTGGTAGCACTCCTCCTCTGAGTAACTCTCTGATTTTCCTCTAGTTGAGATAGCCAGACACACAGCTCCTTCCAGTGTCTTGGCAAATTCCATTCCCAATCAGATAGCATAAGTCAAGGTTGAATCATGGGCTTTACTCACTACTGAGAACTGAGGGCCAGATTTCAAAGGTATTTAGGCATCTACAAATGCAGATAAGCGTCTAGTAGGATTTTCAGGAGTGTCCTAGTACCGAACTCCTGTTGAAAACTTGGAACTCCAGCCTCAAGAGTGCATCTGAATATAAACTCTGTTGGCTTTGGGGGAGCCTGGAGTAGGGCACAACAGTTGTGCCCCATGATTCCCCAACCGGCAAGCTCTTTTCCAATACATCCACACATCAGATAAGCAGCCTGGATTTGGCCCCTAATCAAAATCTATGGGAGCTGGGGGGCCTGGATGTTTCTGAAAATCCTGGTAAATGCCTATCTGCACTGTTAGATGCCTAAATACCTTTAAAACCTGGCCCTGAGTTCACTGCTTCAGCACCTCTCTTAAGAGAAAACAAGAGCCTGGGGAATAGAAGGGAAAGTTCAGAATTTAGCTGATTAGCATTATCAATCCTTTATCCTTACCTACAGGTGGCTTCTTGCGCTGTTTGCAAAATTCATGGAGAGGAGCTGCTTTGGGTACAACAGGAGGTGACTCAAGTGTAATCTTTGCTGCTGGTGGGATTAGCCTTCGCTCAATTAGATTCAGAATACCTAGAAAATGAAAAACCCTGCTGAACAATGTATATTTAATTTCTTGTTTTATAAAGTTACATGGATCATCTCAGGTTACCTAAAGAAAAATGTTTCACTCTCTTTAAAGGCCTTGTAGCTATTCTTTCCCCAATCATGAAAGACAAGATATTGTCAATTAGTAATTGTAAAGAAAGAAATTAGATGGAGATTAAGACAAGCCTTTTTGTTTGCTTTAATGAATTCTTCCTCAAGCCAATTGGAACTAGAGGAGCAGGTGATCTTTATATGACAAATTCAAGGAAGGCAAACTTTGCCTATAAATAGTGACATACAAATGAAATTTATACTGTACTGGGGCAGTATTATAAACAGGAATTATATGTTTGTGAAATGGCAGGTTTGAGGTACATGTAGTAGAACTACTGAAAAGAAAGACTTGTAAATTACACTGTAATTGCGGCTATGGAATTATTACAAATGATTTGATCCATTTTCTAAATAATCCAAATGCAGCTCCAGTTACAGTCCTGGGGCAACTTCAGGCCCTTTTATTCTGAAGAAACAGGCATTCATAGTGGCCACTTATTTTGATCTTGGTGCAACCACACAGAAAGTCTTCACAGATTTTTCTTTCCAGCAGCAACAAAACTCTGTTTAAGAAGTGGATCGCTGGCTTACAGAAAGCATGTGCTTAATAAACCAACGATGTCCCTTAAATGAACTCTGTTGGTTCTGGGAGTCTAGCATAGGGTACAACAGTTGTGCCTCAAGGTTCTCCAACTGGCAAGCTCTTTTCCCATAAATCCATTCACGGGATAAGCAGCCAGGATTTGGCCCTTACCCTTTACTGATGATGATAATGCTTTTCAGTTCTCTTATCAAAGAATCTCAATGCACATTACAAACATTAAATAATGAAGTCTCACAATATTCCTGTGCAGCAGATATTATTATGCCAGTCTGTAAAATGGAGAAGAGTAGAGACGCTAAGTGGCTTGCACAAGGCAGACAAGGTCTTGACTCTCAGCAGACAACATTGCCTTCTTAGAGCTCAGTATTTCATCTTGTTGGCTTAAAAATGACAGGTGTAGGCATCTATGACTGACCTTTCCTTGCATCCCTTTCTAATATAGGTAAGGGAGCATCCATCTGATGAGAGGCAGGCAAAGCCGAGAGGTTACCAACTGTAGGGCCTTTCACTATCTTCTGAGTGCATACCTAAAAACCGACAGAATGATCCTTTAGTAAACCATATTCCTGGTTTTGCAAAGAACTCAGATTTCTACTTGCATAAAGCTAAATAATAAATACAATTTCTGCTATGAACAGTTTCATTAAGGTTTAATAATGTAACAGTACGGGCACTGATTTTACTGCTTATGAACATGCTGCACTATTGTCTACTGTCATTAGTGTATGTAATTTAAAATAAAGTTAATTAAATCCAATCAATGTCTTGCAATTTCTGCTACACAAAGTCAGTGTACTAGTTAATAAAGGAACTGCAAGGACTTTGCTCAATTTTAATGACTATATCATAAACATAGTATCTCTTGACAGAGCAGGCTTTGAATACAGGAAACATGTACACATGCCATGTACTGGAAAGGAAAGGAAGCAGGAGATAGCAGTTGGAAATACGTAAATAGATCCAAAGCAAATTCACCGCACAGAATATTATTGGACTTACGGTATACGTAACTATTTGTAATCAGTGAACATTAATTACTATAGGATGATGGAGTCTGAAGGTACCTTAAAGATAAAGCCTGCATCTTCTAAGTGCCGGTGTGAAGGCACCGTGTTCACGCACACATAATCCTCACATGGCAGTGACATTATAGCTATTATGATAAGTATCCCATATATGGAGCATTGCACAGTGGAAAGAACAGATTTCATAATCTTACATGACTATATACACACACACATACTCATCATCATCACTAACCATTTTGCCTCCCTCTTCAGGTATCATACACATTTTCCATTTCGCACTGGTAAGGATACATCTTGCTATACACTACGGGCCAGATATTGCCATTCTGTGTGCACCAATCCCACCTGAAGCAAATGAGTGTTCAGAGAGGGGAGCAAATGAGCCTCTGATATTGTGCGTGCAACTGTAGGCATGCACTTACTTTGTGCTATTAAACATCACAAATATCCTGATTTGTGACCATAAAACAGATGCTTGCCTATTTCTGCACATGCAAAATTGAACATGCAAACTCAGAGGCCAAGGTTATAACTGGCACTCACATGGAGAAAGACAATACGAGTTGGTCTGATATCTGATCACAGATTTGACAATCATTATTTTCAGGACTAAATTATCACATCTTTGGTCACAAGTCAAGAAAAATGTCAAAGCAAATAGCTGTAATGATGAAAGAGGGAAGGAGAGAAAGAAAGTGCTTTCTAATCTGTTTTAATTTAACATTGTTTCATACCACTGTTCTAAAAATCTGCTGTAATGTTTCAGAATAGAAGATTCAATTTCTAATTATTGGAGAGTTCTATCAATATATAGAAATATCTCCATATGAATGGCTATGCTGAAAGGGTGATATAAAGTGATTTAAAAAACCTCTTAAATACACTACATGTTCTGAGATGTTATTGCAGGTGGATTGGGAGGAATCTATCAAGGAGACAGGAAGATAGTACTGAACATAAAGCCTGAATAATAATGTATGTTGTAGAATCCACTACCTGAAACCCCATGGGTTGTGTTCCCTTCCATACATTACATATCTGAAAACTGCGGTTTATGAGCTTCTTAGGGACAACAATTTAATTAAGTTTGTGAAAAACTTCCCCTTCTTTTGTGAACTCCAGTTTATCCAAATAAATTCCATGTTGCCTGTTCCATTTGGATAAATGGGGCTCTGCTTTATAACTATAAAAACAAAGCTCCAGATCCTCAGCTAGTTTAAATCATGATAGCTCAATTGACTTCAATGGGGCCATGACAATTTACACCAATTGGGGATCTGGCCAAAAGACAGTAAAACCACATCAGCAGAAAATGGCACTGCCTGATTGATTCTAGGGCCAGTAAGGCACAGGTAAATCTAGGGAGTCAAGAAAGTCAGTTTACTATTCTCAACCATCTTGGAGAAGTAAAAGGCAAGCCTGACAGTTCTGAGGCATACAGCACAGTTTATCCAGATTTCCAGAAAGCCTTTGATAAAGTACCCCTGCCAGGTTGCTTCTGAAATCAGAAGTATCTGGGATCCAAGTTAAAATGCAACAATAGATAAAGCTGAGAAAAGTGAAAGCAGAGTTTTGTCAGCAAAAACAGGCCGCTCTGAGACTTTACCCATTTGTGACAAATGGCTTAGATGAAGGTTCCAGATATAAACCTGTTAAATTTACCAATGACACAACATAGGAAGGAGAAGAAAATGCTAATCTCAGAGCTGCTCTGCTCAGCAGGCAAAGGACAAATGAAATGAGAAACTTGGTCAATCAGTCTAGTGGATGCACAATATGCTGCTATGAAAGAGAAAAGTCTCCCTCCCTCCCTTTCCAGTAGGCAAGGGCTCAGTGCCTACTAGAACTCCCTCTGGAGCTGATTTTAGAAGCAGTAAGGACGGATTCATCCAGCCTTCCTCATGTGTAGAGAGCAGGGTTGTATGATATGGAGCTTTTGTGAAGGACAGAAGTAAAGGGGGCCAAATCCAAAACAAGAACATTTAGGGACACATTTTCAGCCCAGTGAATGTTCAACTAACCAAGCTGCACATAGAAATGGCTATTTGAAGGCAAAGAACATTTGTTTCTCACCCAATTCATTTCACACACAAAACTGGAGGACAGTGCTGAAAATCTGTTCTTCAGAGTCAATTATTCTACTGTTTGCAAGGTCATAATCCTGTCCTCCTTAAAACTAACTACTACCGTGAAGCCTCCGGTAAACTGCTCACTGATAATGGTTAGACAAGTGACCAGAAAAGACTTCCAATGTTTTATCAGAGGCAAGGCAGATAGCCCACTTATTATTCAGGTTGCTCAACATTTTCTATTACATAACATTTTTTTCAGTTGCTTATAACTTTGCCAGACTTTCACCAGTTGGGCTGAAATTTTCCATGCATAGTGAGTGCCTGCTTCAGGTTGAACTTTTCTGGAAAATTTCTGCCAAAATGATTCAGCCATTTCTTAGGACAAGGCTATGGGAAAATACACGGTTTTGCCCATGCTGAAAAATTCTGGTGTCCTTTTCTTTGAAAAGCTCTAGTGCTCCTATATTTCTGAGAAGGGACTTGACATTTATCAGGAAGCTGATCTTTGTTTCAGTGCCCTTTTGCTATCCCTGTGAAAATCTACCAAAATTTGGCCAAGTTATAAGCCTTGAAAAATCACAGTTTACATATGCTCAAAAGAGATTTCTTAGATTTCAGCAGCTACATTCTCCAAAGATTCCATCCACACTGGGCATGCTGCAGTCAGGGGCTAAGCAGGAGTTTCCCTGCAATAGCAGCTCTGGGCTGCTATGGGCTGTGTCAGATCTGGATGGAAGCAGGGAGCCTGTCTCTCTCCAGTGTTGCCAATGACTTTCCTGCTGGGCCCAGGCAGCATGGAGGAGGAAGCTATCCGATTTGAACGCAGAAGGGACAAGAGCCAGACTTGCAAAGGGAGTTAGGGAAGTAGATTAGGACAAGGAGCTGGGTGGTCAGGGGGGTGAAGACAGGACTGAAGGGTGTCAAGCAGAGAGGGACAGTGGGACTAGGAGTTCAAGTGCAGAGGTAGATCAGCTGGCTGGGCAAGGAGACTGGGAATGGGAGATGGGGGGAGACTGGGACATTCAACCAGGGAGGTAAATGCATGGGTTGGAGCCATGTGGGGTGGAGGGAGACTGATATTGTTTGAGGAGATGAGGCTGAAGGAAGATTGGGGCTGGCTGAGCAAGGAGACTGGGGACAAAGAGCTGGGAGACTAGAGAGGAACTGGGAATGGATGCACAAGGAGCCTGGAAGCGGGGGAGACCGGGCCAGGGATTCCAGAGGGGTGAGATTAGCATTTGCTGGACAAAGAGTTTGGGACTGAGATGAGAAGCCTGAAGAGTAGAAACTGGGACTGGCTAGGTGAGGAGAATGGGACTGGGACTAGGAGGAAGATGTGGGGAAGGGATAAGAGTGGGACAGGTTGGAGGGTCAGGGTAAGAAGGGGGTCAAGTTTGGGGGAAAACAGGCAGAAGAGCCTGTGCCCACTAGAGAACACGGCCCTCCAGAGCTGGAATGAAACCTCAGAGTCCTGAGTCTCACCATTCCTCTGATGTCAGCAAAGGCCTGTGAAATCCACTGGCTAAGTGTCCCAACACCCCACCCCACCCAACCCATCACGGTGCTGGTCCACACAGAGTATGATAATGTACTACTGCCATCAAGACTCCATTACCTCAAGTGGCAGAGATCTGTGTGGTGGAATTAAACGTTCCGAACCTGCTGCTGAACCATGTGGGTGTCAATATGATGCCACATGATAGAGTTTCTGATTTTTCAGTTTGTTTTTTTAAAAGCTTAGGAAATTACACACACATACAAAATTGCATTAAAAGAACAGTATTCAGATAGTACAGTCAAGCCCTCAAAAGTTACGAAATGCCAGAATTAAGGTTGCCTGGACAACCTGTAAAGTGGGGATAATGATACTTATGTTCTTTGTAAAGCACTTTTGGCTCTACTGCCGAATAGTGTTATAAGAGCTAAGTGTTAATAATAATTATTATTATGTGTATGGCACTTCGTACAATGAGGCCCTGGCCTTGATTTGGGCACTATTGTAACACAAAATAACAACAAAATTAATCAATGTTATAAAAAAGGATAGGCCGTTTTTGAAGATCTGTTCATATTTCTAACTGGGAAATGGAGAGAGATTGAAATATCCAATTTATAAATTTCTCCACCCTAATTCATACAATAGCATTGCCGATGGCAGACACCAAGAAGGCTGAATTGCACGCATGCTTCATTACAGTAAAGATTTTTTAGAGCAGTAACAGATGCACATTTTTGGTTGCGGCTATTATGAAACATTACACTCTAAAGGAACGAGAGGCATGAATCTTTACGTCATTATATTCCAAGAGTAGAACAATGAGAAATGTGGCAAAGATTAACTTTACACCAGCCAGGATTATAAATGGGTTAATACTGAGCAAAAAAGGGACACACCTATGCTTCCCACTCCCTATATTTAAATCTTGC